AAAATCTATAATTAGTGACATTTTTGCTAATGAACACTAAGTACCATTTTTGCAAATGTGCATATATAAAAGTGACATTTTTGTAATTTTCCCTTTTTTCCACTAATCCAAAATCTTTATACTTCACAATTTACCAAAAAGAAGATACAAAAATAACCTGCGATTAGAAAAAAAAAAAAAAACTATAGATGGGCCCTATTTAAGAAAACAGGCCAAGGCCCAACCAGAATCATATCGAGAGAAATGATTAAAGCAAAAGTTTCGAGTTTCGGCGCCATTAAAGACGTTCAAAGTTTTTTCACCGAGAGCTCCAAAATCAGAGGAAGAAATCGATTTCAATGTCTACAGAGATCGCTCATCTTCGACGGAGATTGATTGAATTCTTGATTCAATCTACTTCTGTAAGTTCGAATCTTCTCCTCAATCGGTATCTGTTAGGGTTCTTATTCTCTTCGATTTTCCTCTCCTGATTTCGATTTTGGATCTGGATTTCGCCGACGAAAGCAACTCGAACTTCCTCCGATCGTTAAGTATTCATCACTATCGCTGTTTTTCGATCGATTTCGTCCTTCTGTAGTCAGGTACTACGATTTTACTCTTCCGATTTGATTTGAGTTTTTTTTTTTTTGGGTGAGGTTCGATTGTTTTTAGGGTTTTATTGGAGAAATCGGTAAAGAATTTCGGTGTAATTGTTCGTTTTATCTGATTCTGATGTGTAGATTTGGATCAGTGCTTGTTTTATGAGGATTACACACAGTTTCCAGTTTTATGCGTTTTGGGTTAAATCTTTGTGTGATGGAATTTAGAATAAGTGGAAAATGTAGGCATCACTGTCATCTTTGTGAATTGTGATTCTGTGTTTATTTTGTAGGTTTTTGCAGAAGAAGAAAGCAGAACATTGGCTATTGCAACCTTTGACAGAAAGCAATTTGCAGCTGTTTGTATTAGTCTCCATATGGATCTCTTGCAAAGTTGGTTTAATTTCTTATTTCTGTTACTGTTCTGTGTGTTGTTTCTCTTCAATGTACCTGGAACTTAATTGTTGCTTCTCTCTGCAGATGCATTGTTCACGAGGTTTATCGGTTCATCGTCTGAAATCCTTGGGCGATAAGATGATTACAGAGCAACTCTTCACGGTTCGGGATTTCTTGGAAGCAGTAAGCTACTCTTTAAAATCTTGAAATTATCACTGAAATTATATAACTTCAGTTTTTTTTTTTTTTTCAAATAAGCTCACGGTTCTTTTGCAGGAGCTGGTTTTTCTAAAGGTAAGCAATGTACACTTGGAGACGTTCTCTTCGCTGTAGAAAAAGCTCATTCGAACTTATTCTCTGTCTTCCTCATTGTACATGAGGAACAGGTTTTGAAATTTGAGGTCGGCACTCTAAATATAGCTTATTCACTGCTTGAAGACCTTTTTATTCAGTTCAAGTAAGATGTTTCATCTCTATCAAGTACCTGGCTTCTTAAAACTCATGCTTAAAACTAAAAAGATTGAAGGATATTTAGTCCGTGTTCTTATCGTCTAACTCCTAAACCATTGTCTTCTTCTAACAGAGAAGTTGCAAAAGTTGGAGAACTTTTGAATTTTGAAGCATGTATGGACATGATGGATCTTCTTTACGAGAAGGAGGAGACATCTGTTCTTTTCCACTCTTCAAAATCATTGGCTGCTTCCATTCTGGTTACTTAATTTCTCACTCTGTTTCCATCTCTTCATTTCTTGACTGGTAAAGTTTATGAATAAACATTAAAATGAAACTAAATCGTGTTCTTCTCTTGAACTACAGGTCTCTTCTTACATAATAACCGTGCCTAAACAGCAGCATGAGTTTCCTGTTCTACCTTGGGGTAAGCATTCATAATTCTGCTCTTTCCATCAAAAAGCATTATATATATACAATGTTCAATGATAGATTTATATTAATCAAGCCATAGGATTGTGCATGAGTTAGAAACAGGTTATTACTTATATCAGCTAGGATCAAATAAGGCCCAATGTTCTCCTTTTTGACTTGTGTGCATTTCAACATCATACTAAAGAATACATTGTTCCCACTACAAGTCTTCTTCAATCTTTGCCCTTTAGAAATGGAAATTGTGATGTTTCCTCTACTTAATAGTTACAATTATGATTATGAGCCATCAAGGTTGACTTTATTGAGTTCTGACCACCGGCCTTATACGGTTTACGGATCAATCAAATCTTTGTGGTCCTTCACAGTTTGCTAAAACCTAACAAATCTCCGGTCCGGGCCACTCAGATACTGTACCGGACCGTATAGATATAGAGATTTTAATAGTAGAAGTCACTAGTCAATCGTCAGCATTTTCCTTTTCCCATTGAATAAACCAAACCTCATTTTCATGGAGTTATAGCTGTAATACACTCACACACACAAAAGATAGGAGGAAGAAAAGTCCATTTTATTTGTTTATTTACTTCAATAGGTCCCTCTCCAAAATTTATTCTTCTTCATTTATGGTCTCTACACTATACGTCTATACCCTTTTTCAGGTTTTTCACATTTCATTGGTAACAAAATTTATTTCAACAGTACCAAACTCTAGAAGAGTATGATTCATGTCTAAATCTTTTACCTACTCTACGTGATAATATACACATATACATGTAGATCCATGTGGTCTAAGTCTTTGCTATAAAGTTAATAATGTTAGGCCTATCTTATTTTTAGGGACCATTGTTGAAAGTGAAACTAGAAAGAAGTAGGGAGAGGTTTCTAAGGTTAGAAGAAGAGGGTAGGCACTAGACATAGTTTTATTCTGCTTCTGTGTTACATGATTCTGTTATATGTATATTATCTATTGATGGCTAAAATAGAGACAATGAAAATTTAAGACTTGTAGGCAATGATGATCCTAATTCTTATGAGTAAGGGATATATAAATTTTGTTATTCATTAATATTTTAGACCCTACTTCGACCTACCATTTTCATTTCAAGCTATTGATTAAAAAAAAAAAAACTTTTTTTGTTAAGGTGTTGTGGAACAACTACTTTTTGAAACCAAGTATTTTGAAAGTTTTGCTTTCACTTGAAGCTCGA